TTTTTTCGCCCAGCTCTCTTAAAAGACTTGACCGAGAACTAACTATACCGCTATAATGCACAGAGATATTTAGGATTATATGCAAAATTTCAGACTTCTTAGTCTTGTGCTTTGTTGTAGTCTACTATTTCTTTTGTATTAGTGAGGCAGATTACATAGTCGCGGTCGTGTTTTGTGTATCAATTTTCAATCCTTCAATAAGTTGTGTTAGAAAAACAAACTACATCATAAGATGCAGCGGGTGAAGCTCTACAATTTACATTAGACCACTTTTTTTTTTAAATGGTTGCATGTTTTTCTTTCAAAATGAGCAAAATTTTTACTATCCACATTCCGGCAGTACAAACAACTATATTATTTTACACAGAATGAGGGTGTGGGTGTGAAAAGAAGATCAATACCCACCCACACCCTGTCTCACACTCTGGAGCTGGAAGAGTTGTTTGCTTGTTTTTGCAAAATTCAGTTTGAAATAAAACCAAACATAAAAGTGTGTTCTTTTTTGTTGCCGAACGATTGTTATGTTTCATTATGCTTCAACCGACTGAGAAAAAGAACACACTAAAAGCTTTTCTTTTTGCAAGATTGTATGAGGACTAAAGCCGATGTAAAAAAAGAAACGAAAGAATAGAAAAAATACTCCTATGAATGTAAAATGTGTTGCTTACATAATATTCCGACGTTTTAAAGGCACACAGCCTTTCGAAGAAAACAAAAATTCTAAGATAAACTTTAAGAGTATCGTAAGTAAAATATTTTCAACAAAAGATATTTTTCTCCTCTCCTGTGGAAAAGAACTGTAGCAGAATAAAACAGACGCAAATGATTCATGTCGGATACCCTCAATACTGTTGGTAATGAATGCTTGGTGATTCCTTTTGCCCATCATCGATGTGAATTCCAATGGTACTGGAATGATGATCCTTATTCTGAAAACGGTTCATCAAGTGAACACTGGAAAAAGTATTCGGATATTGAAAATGAAATTATTGAAGAAGCATATATAGCAAACAAATCCGAAACCGAAATAGACGGTAATTTTATAATTAGCCTAAAATTCTATATGCAATAAGAACGATTTTTGTCACCCATCTTTCTCATGCAGCAACCATCGACGGCAGATCTAACAGTTGATCCGAAAGAATTTCATCTGGAACGAACAAGTCGTGGCCATGATATTTCATTTACTTTCATGGTACGGGAAATAAAGAATTTTTCTACTCTTGCTGATGTTGTTGAAGAAGCTGCCAGAGGTATCATTAAACAAAGTATTATCAGCAACAAAAGAATTGAGGGGGAATGGCTAGCTCTACAACTCCGCGCCGTGAAGCATTTCGGTGACAACATAAAGTGCAATTCTGGTAATTGCAAAATTCCCGAAGAAATTGGACAAACATGTGTGTTCCTGTACACAACGGAAAGCTTTTGGTATAAAGCACTAAATGAGATTACTCGTGATGTTACCAAAGTTAATCATGAAAAATTTAAAATATTTGGACCATTTTGTTATTTACTTACGTTCTATTTAACTCGAACGCAAACACGAGATGTTACAACCGTTTATCGTGGGGTTACATTAACAGATGAACAGAGACAACAGTATATGAAGGGACGAATATGTTTCACATCGTTTACTTCGACAAGTATTAACCGAAAAAAAGCTGAAGAATTTGGAAATACTCTTTTTATTATGAATCTGGATGTGTACCAAGAAATAGATACTGACAGTGATCGAGTACCTTCTGGAAGGCATATTGCCTTGTTATCCTATTTTCCAGACGAGGAAGAATATCTGTTATGGCCAGGTAATGCATTCTGGTTTGTACATTATGAGTATGATGTGGCAAAGAAAAAACATATTATTTATCTTTCTGCCACTTGGCACTGAATTTTTCGAAGATGTATGTCATAGTTGACTTGAAAATTCAATTTCGATTCGAACGAATAAACAAATAACGCTCATCTGTATGACTCCCTGAACCATCGACTGAATTTTTCACTCGTTCAATAGTTTTTAGTGGTAAAAATATTTTTCGATAGTTAGCAATTGAAATTTGTATATGGCTAGGGTCTAGTGTGAACATAAATATCCACAGGGTGTGGGTGTGGACAAACAAGAAGTTAACATCTGAATTCACACCATACACTCACACACCCACACCCACACCCTAACAAAAATTAGCTTGTTAGCTCCAATCATAAGGGAGATATCCAACATTTTTTCAGTAAACTGCCTTTTTGGTCACATGTCAGGTAGATTATTTTTATTTTTGAATAAATTTAGAACAATATTTTCCTGTGAAAAAATAACTAGTAAGTTTATTCGTGTTGTTGAGCTAGCCATGTTTCAATAATATTTTTGAATGCAAAATTTTGAGTAATACCAGTAATAGCTGTTCGACATGAAGGACAAATATTGCTTGTTCTTAAATATTGGTTAATGGCACTCATTTCAAACATATGTCCACAAGGTACGGTCGTCGCAGGATTTTCCATGATATCGAGTGTAATTGGACAAGTGAATAATTCTTTATCGAGTGTTACTTTCGATGAATTCTCTGTTGGTTTTACAGTAGTTGCTTGTGTTGGTAATGATTCAAGATCGGCCATAC